GCGTGTTTCTATGCTGCATCTATTGCACTCAACTCAAGTCGTAAAAGATGTGTAAATTGATGGTTTTTTTTCTCATTCTCGTTATTTTCCTCGCACATTTCGCATTTATGAAGAAAAAAAAAATCAATTTTAAAAAAGTAAACGAGAATGCAAAAAGGAACTAAAAGAAGGCACGAAGAGATGTTGATGTTAATAATTAGATTTACGTGTGTATTTGTGATATACAAATAATTATGTTCATTCCAATATGAAGTGCATAGTGGATTAGGTGCCGTAGCTAGCGTGGCGAAATTTATTGCGTGATAAACGCGCCGTTCTGAATGGCAATAAAGGAACAACAAGACTTAAAGATTCAGCTTTAATTCGAGGCGCCAAAAATGTTTCTTTTCTGTTTTGCTTCTTTTGCAGATTTTGGCATGATTTTGGTGAAAACAAAAGATTATGGGAATATAAATGGACGTGATTATCGTGATGAGATGTGGCGCGGAATCGAAATTTTTTTATGAGAATTTTTTTTATCGATGAAATTTGAATTTTTTTCTATAGTAATTTGCATTTGAGAGTTGAATATGAATATTGAGATAAAAATTTGATACTAATGTCGTGTGGGATGGATGAGACAAGTGTCTACTTACATGACTAGATTAGATTGTGGATGTGGGAGGTGTTATGATGTCAATAGTCGTTAGCTGCGTGCGACTTTAGTAATATTTTGATCCATTAGTGTTTATAGTTGTGCGATGCGTACGACTTATGTGAATTTGATCAAAGTGTGTCCAAAGTAGTGTAGAATGTGCGACTTTAGTAATATTTTGATTCATAAGTGTCTATAGTGGTACGATGCGTACGACTTATGTTACTATTGATCAAAGTGTGTCCAAAGTAGTGTAGAACGTGCGACTTTAGTAATATTTTGATCTATTAGTGTCTTTAGTGGTGCGTTACGTACGACTTAGGTTCCCATTGGTCAAGTGTGTCCAAAGTAGTGTAGAATGTGCGACTTTAGTAATATTTTGATCTTTTAGTGTCTTTAGTGGTGCGTTACGTACGACTTAGGTTCCCATTGGTCAAGTGTGTCCAAAGTAGTGTAGAATGTGCGACTTTAGTAATATTTTGATCTTTTAGTGTCTTTAGTGGTGCGTTACGTACGACTTAGGTTCCCATTGGTCAAGTGTGTCCAAAGTAGTGTAGAATGTGCGACTTTAGTAATATTTTGATCTTTTAGTGTCTTTAGTGGTGCGTTACGTACGACTTAGGTTCCCATTGGTCAAGTGTGTCCAAAGTAGTGTAGAATGTGCGACTTTAGTAATATTTTGATCTTTTAGTGTCTTTAGTGGTGCGTTACGTACGACTTAGGTTCCCATTGGTCAAGTGTGTCCAAAGTAGTGTAGAATGTGCGACTTTAGTAATATTTTGATCTTTTAATGTCTTTAGTGGTGCGTTACGTACGACTTAGGTTCCCATTGGTCAAGTGTGTCCAAAGTAGTGTAGAATGTGCGACTTTAATAATATATTGACACATTAGCATCTATAGTGGTGCTCTGAACACGATTTTGGTTACTTTTTGTCAAATTGTGTCTAAAATGGTGTGCTGCATACGATTTAGAACACTTTAAACCACAAGAACGAACAATCCAATACAAAACCTTCTCACAAGTAACTCAATATCCACTCAAAACATTCTCAATTTCAATTATCCAATAAATCACGACTCTATCATTAATTCCAATTCTTTTCGTCCGAATGCAATAGTCAAACCACATAGTTAACAACCTTACAAATTATTCACTTAAATGCTCTAACATTTCCCATTGTCAATAACTTAATAACAATAACAAATTAAGGGGGCAAAATGAATAGTTTTTAACATCTATGCATGTGCAGTGGAAGGAAAACTTTTTCAATATTAAGAATTCACGTTGCGTGTCGACTGCTTTGTTCCGGTTAATAAGCACAAAAAGGATATGCTACCTAATAATAATGTAATTAATGACTTGTTGTTGTTGTTGGAAATTAAGCAATAAATGATTACAACAAGTTGTAAGGTTTTTATGGTTGGGGAACTGATTTATTGATGGGGTGTGGGGATAAATTACCATAAAGTCGTGTTCAGCATACGATTATTGACATAGTATTGCTAGGGGTAGGCAAAATCGTATACAGAACACCACTATGAGTACAAGTGAGTTTAGGGTTGCTAAAGTCGTACGTAGTAAACCTATTTAGACACATTTTGATCAAAAGCAACCAAAATCGTACGCAGCAAATCACTTTAGACACATTTTGATTAAAAACAACCAAAATCGTACGCAGCAAACCACTTTAGACACATTTTGATCAAAAGCAACCAAAATCGTACGCAGCAAATCACTTTAGACACATTTTGATTAAAAACAACCAAAATCGTACGCAGCAAACCACTTTAGACACATTTTTATCAAAAGCAACCAAAGTCGTACGCTATGCACCACTTTAGACAAATTTGGATCAAAAGTAACCAAAGTCGTATTCAGCCCACCACTTTTGAAGTTCAAGTAGTAACAAGTGTCAATAGTCGCACACTCCACACCACTCTTGTGTCTCATTCATTCAAAAAATTCAAAATCCAGTTTGTTCAAGCATTTAAATCATCAATAATTTATCACCTCACACCTTTTATTCCGTCATTATTCATAAAAAATTTGTTCATCAAATAAAGAATCTCGTACACAAAATAATAATAAAATGTATATTTATCCGGAAGCCATAAAGCACAGCAGAGTCAAGTCACAAAATAAAAAAAGCCTTCAACTTATCTTCTTATTCATGAATGAATGAGAATTTAAATACGAAAGAATGATCATCGCGTGGCAGCTCATTAGCAAGCACTTTGCTAGCCCGCGACAATGGCTATTATGAATTGTCATCGTCATTATGTAATAATCGACTGACAAAACCGTTTGTTTGTTTGACGATGAGCAATATTTGACAATGGCCACACACAAATGTGTAACTTGTTTTTTTTTTTTTTTTGGTGGTTCTTGATGTGAGCTGTTAAGCATGCCATATTTGGGGTTGTTTTGATTGTTTTTGCTGCTTTTTTTGTGTGAATAATTTGATAATTTTGGGTATTTAACAGGTTCTGTGATTGATATGAGAGGATAAGTGAAGGATTATTGATGTTAAGTTGATGAATTTGGTGTTATTTTGGTCATTATGGATCAATAGTGGTGCACAGAGTACGACTTTGGTTGCTTTTAATCAAAATGTGTCTAAAGTGGTTTGCCGCATACGACTTTGGTTGCTTTTGATCAAAATGCGTGTAAAGTGGTGCACAGCGTACGACTTTGGTAGTTTTTGACAAAAGTTTGTCTAAAGTGGTGCACGGCACACGATTTCAGTGACAATTAATCAAAATAAGGCTCATTGCCTGCCTCAACTATCAATTGTACCGACAGAGCTCCTTCCAATTAGATTCTATTTTGCTATTTAAATCCAGACTACCAAATCAAGCCATTAACTATTCAACTGCACCAAACCTTTCAATTTACTATTCCTTTAGTTCCGACAAATGAAACTTTTTAGTCATTTACTTCCCTTTTGATTGCATTCGAGCTGAAAAGCTAATAAAATATTTAAATGCAAATGACAAAGTTGACGTGTTTTCGCAGTTTGAATCAGCTATGGTCAATTATGGACAATGAAAAAATTATGAATAATTAAAAGTGTGACTGACTAACATGCCGACAAGTCGATAATTTGTTTTAAAGTTGAGTCTTTTTGATGAATTTATAGTCTTGTTAAGCTATTTGGTGGATGATTAATGATTTGAGCTGGAAGCATAAGTGCTGATCTAGTGCTGTATGCTTGGTTTTAGGCAACTAGTGCTCATTTTTACATGATTTTGAAACTAAAACTACAAAACCGTACGCACTGCACGACTATTGACATATGTTGCATCGAACGATGTGTTTCCTATGGCTTTATGTCATGAATGACAATCTTAACTGATCTAGACCAGTGCTGTTCAACCCATGTGCCGCGGCACACTAGTATTGGGGGGCTGTGTTGATGAGATGTAGCTGGAATATGTGAAGAGTTCGGGGTGGGTCTAAAGCAGCATCATTTACTTTACTATAATCCAGGGATGCCTAACCTTTGTTCAGCGAAGAAAATTCAAGAAATTCCACAAACCGTATACCGTGTGTGGTTTTGGTCATGGCTTATAAGCAAGATGTTCTGTCACGCAAAAAAGGTTTTCCACCACTGACCTAGACTAAGAAATTGCAACCAAAATTCCAAACATCATCATTTCAAGTACCAAACGAGACATTCCAGTCCTCAAAATTCATAAGTTTTGCCTGCATTTCATCCACTTGCACTTAATCCTTTCCATCTTTATTTTCTTAATTTTTTTTTCTTTTTCAACTTTTAATTTAATTTCAATGTTGAAAAAGTTTCTAAAGAGCATAAAAAATTACTCGCTTGAAGCAACTCGACTGCCGCAATTCACATGAAAAAAAAATAATAATTTCTGTCCTGAAAAAAAAAAATAAACCTGAGTCCTCAAGTGCCACTTCAGGCTTTTGCTTGTATTTGTGTAGAAATTTCTTTTCTATTTGCTCACTAATTATTGTAGATGCCACTTGAGTGAATGCAGCCAACAATTTTTTTTTATTCTCAAGTGCTCTATGCGACTCACATACATTTTTTTTTATTCACAAAGAAGTCGCATTCTATGGGATTTTTGAAGTAGCTTAGAAATTCTGAGAATGTTGTGGGATTTTTTTTGACATATTATTTTGATGCTAATGCTGATCTGATGTCAAGAATCGTATGCCGTATGCGGTTGTATGTCTAATGCCATATATACAGCTACATTATGGACAATTTGTGTCAAAAGTCGTGTAGAACGTACCACTTTGAGTCAACTATGTGTCATACTATTGATAGTATCCACCACGGTGTCAAAAGTAGTGTGCAGCCTACGACTTTGTGCAAAAATCAATAAAAAAAATTAATTTTGTCCAAAAAAAATTTATTAAAAAAATTAAAATTCAACAATTTCAACTGCCAAAACTTAATAGTCAACAATATATCAACCTCCACTTCCATCAACTCCAGTATCATCATTGCAATACTTAACAATATGCGTATACATTCCAACAATATCACCAAAATCATCCGGATACCTCAAATCGATGCACAAATTCTCACTCAAATCCATAAATTCCAACATTTTTGTGTGCTGAATTGACGCCACATTTATTCTCACTAATTGATTTCCATTAAGTCGCAATTCCCTCAATTCACTGCTGACAGGAAATGGCAAAATGTCAAAGATTCTTATCAAATTATTTGACAATGTGAGAATTTTGAGGTGTCGTGCGAGTGAAAATGCTTCAAATGGAATCGATTTGATTTTATTGCTTGACAAGTCAAGAACTTCTAAGTTTGGGATTGACTTGAAAGTTTGGTCATCAATGGAACTGATGTGGTTCCCAACAATGAAGATTTTTCGAAGTTTTTGGAGTCCTAAAAAGTCAGTGAACCTTAAAGCCATCAAATTTGATCGAGAAATTGTCAGAATTTCGAGATTTTTAAAGAAGTTGGAGATGCCTTCAGGGATGTAACGGAGATTTTGTTGTGTGACGATCAAGTTCATGACATTTCCATTGCCAACACCATTAAAGTACTCTCCAGATACTCTAATGATTGTGATGTTTCTGGATGTTATGTTGAGGTTCCTTGCTGTACAGATGTGACCATCTTGGGATGGCGAAAAGTCACAGTTTAGGGTTATGTGTTGGGTCATTAAGCGGTTTGTGTTGTTTGGTGGAGCTAATGGGTTGATTGAGTAGCATGATGAGGGGATAACGTGGTAGAAGAGGAGAACTATAATGTTGAACCTACAATTGAAATGTGATCTTAGTTTTGATTTTTGAAACATTTTGAAAAAAAAATAACAAAATTCAAAAAAAAATATTCAAAAACAATTTAAAAAATTCAAATAAATTCAAAACCAATCAAACAAAAATTTAAAAAATTTACCAAAATTCAAAAACTTCAAAAAAATTGATAAAAATCAAAAACATTCAAAAATTCGAAAAAATTTATCAGAATTTAAGCAGAAAATCGAAAATAAATTCAAAAAAATCAAAAATAAATTCAAAAAAATCAAAATTAAATTCAAAAAAATCAAAAATAAATTCAAAAAATTCAAAAAAATAACAAAAAAACTTTTAAATTAAAAAAAAAACTTAATTAAAATTTAAATAACAATCAAAAACTTACATAATCATAGCGCAATTGCTATAATCCCCCAAATTAATCCTGATAAGCTTAGTAATTTTAATCCTAAGAGAGTTCAGCACTCTAAATTTAATTATATCAAATTCACAACTTTTTGCTATTTTAAGTCATCAAAACCAAAAACTAATTTGTCAATAATTCGCTCTTCCTTACTGTCTTACTTTTCGGCAACTGAAAGTTGTTTTTGAAGTGCTTGGGTATTTTATAAAGGAAGTACGGTTGTGTCTGAATTATCATCAACTCATGTAAAACAATGAGTAAGTTTACTGATAAGTTACAAAGAATATTAAATGTGAATATGAGTTTGGAAAATTCCAGATAAATTGACAATTTATGACGCATTTTTGATGTTGACTAAGTTGGGGATCCTTAAGTGTCCATCCTTTTGACATGCAATTTTGACAAATTGAGGTTATGTCTTCAAGCCTTAATGACCTTATCTTGTCTACCTATTCTGAATAGCTTGCAAATTCAACAATCATCTCTAGCTTCATTTCGTGTAACAACCTCAAATGCCGTCATCAAAAATAACAAATGTCGTGAATTTATCAACAATTCGTAAAAACATTTGAGTCAGGCACAGATAAAAAATATCGAAAAATCATTCTAAGAACCGAAAAAAGCTAGAATTTCACCCTAAATTCACCTGCATCATTAAATAACAATAAGTCATAATCACATCCATATTGCCATGATCACGTCCAACCAGCCACATTTCCTGCAGTGCTTTTTTAACCAATTTAACAACAAATAATCTCAGCAATTACTATAGAAAAATTGTTATTTTTTTGCCAATTTATTACACCAAATTGTTGTGAGATGAACGTGCCAGTTATAATGAGACCGCATGTCGTCAATTCTTCTCTTGCTTTTTTTAATGATGGATTAATGGATTGTTGATGTTCAGTGTGGTTTGGTTTAGTTTCTTTTAAGGTTAGAATTTTCTTAAAATGACTCACAGAACCTGTTTAAAAAATAAAATTCTTAATCAACCAATTTCAATGCGAAATCGTAAAAAAAATTGTAGCATCGAGTCATAAAACAAAACAAGCTTATCATGTCTCTTTACATCTTTATATCCAACAGAAATTTTCAAGGTCAGACTAATTAAAAGTGCCATAAATTCTCATCTTTTTGCAGACCCTAAACTGAGTTTTTGACCTCAGACAAGCTCATGCGAATGTGAAATTAAAAGAAATTTATTTTTTTTTTCAATTCATTAACACGAATGTCTGGGAATTATGGAATTAATGACTCGTAAAAATGAAGTTGTGAGCAGGTATTGTGGTTATGAAGGAAGAGGGGGGTTGAGTGAGGTTGCTGGGGCATTTAATGATGTGATCTGAACTCGGAATGCTCTAGGAAGCAGAAAGGGTGTGTTATAGGTAGCTGATATGGGAATGTATGGCTCAAAATTGAGAGTCTGGCTCTATACCAGAGTTGTCTAAAGTTTTTGAACCACGGCACACTTAAAGGGTAAGCCATGACCAAAGTCGCACAGAACATGCGACTTGCGTCATTACCAACAATTTTCTACAGCACACCAGTGTGACGCGGCACACAATTTGGAAAATACTGCTCTATACCATCTCGAGGCCTCCAAAGCAAGTGTTTAGACTGTTTGGTGCTAGTGTCGTCAGTATAAAGTTTAGTATCAGGAAGTGGGATGCAATTTGAGCAGTTTCTGGTAGTTAAGAGCAGTGATGGTCAACCTTAGTGCCGAGGAAATTTAAGAATCCCAAAAAACCATATATTATGTAAGGTTTTGGTCATGGTTTACCATCAAAGTGTGCCGTAGCACAAAATAAATTGGCCAACACTGGTTTAGGGCAAATCACCAGTAGAATCAACCAGAAAGTCATTCAAACCCCCTCAAAATACCCTCCAACAACCCAAAAAGCTAGCACCACAAAAAGTGATCATTTTGACAACCAAACAAAGCATCAAGAATGTAAATAATGCCTGTAAAAATAACAATCATCATCATAAAACCCATCGAGCCATGCAAAATGAAATAAAATGTTATTAAAGTGCATTATAAAATGGTTAAATGCACAAGCACACACAGAGAGTGAAATTATGATGATTAAGGGAGACGAATTCAATAACATGAGACGATTATGAGGCATGAAATTATTAAATATGAGTCATGTTGAAGGGTGAATGGAAAAAAAAATTATTTCCAAGGGGTTGTTTGAGATAGGATACTAAATTTAACATCATAATCGTCCGATTGTTATTTTTTTTGCTATGCTGAAATATTGACTTGAAGTAATTTCACAAATTATGGATTATGATATATTTAATCGGGCATTGTCGAGTGGAATTTGATGTTTTTATTTGTGTTTTTGGATGCGGTGTGTTTGTGTGTTTTGGTTTCTGAGGGGATTGTTGAGATTATTTTGAGGATTGTTGCTAGTTTTTTCGGTGAATTATTGGATTTTGATCTGGTTTGAAGAGGATTTAATAAGATTTTGATGGTTTTGAGATAGATTATAACCATATCGACTCGAATTAACTTAATAGGGACATTGTGTGGCTTTGTAAGCTTGCTAGCAAGTCAAATTTCTTCAAAACTCATTTTTAACCGTTATAAAACGAACAAAGAGTACAACTGACATCTCCGTGATGTTTTAGTCCCGTCTTAGGTCAGAACTGAGAGAAAACTAGCGTCCATCTGCAACTACAGACCCCAAAGCTATGTCAAATCCACATCAACATCAATAATCCTCAAAACTTAATGCAAAAGTCCTCATAAACCCCATCAAAAATACAGAAAACTCACTAATTAGCTTCCATAAGAGTATAAAGACTTTACAATCCTCACATGCATTGCCAAGCAATTATAAGCAAAAAAAAAAGCTTTTAATACTAATGCACATTGATGGATAAATAAGTGAAGCACAAAATGGAAAAATTTTCAATTTTCTTTCTCATTTTCTCGTTTGTAAAAAAAGAGTTGAAGATTAAAAAGCACAGGTTGTTCACTTTGTTCAACGTTTGGTATGCAATTATGGCACAGAAGTCTAGTGCAGATGTGGAAGGGGATTGCATTTAGATGATGGAGAGGAAATGGAGGAATTAATGGGAAATTGTGATTGAAGGGATTGTTAGAAAAAAAATTGAAAAATTGAAGGAAAAACTTATAAAAATTAAAAAAATTTAAAAAGCACAAAAAAATGATTCAAAACCTTTCCAAAAACTATCAAAAAATCAAATAAACTTAAAAAAAATTATTTTTATTTTTTCAGGTCTAACGCGACCCGCGTTATATCCATTTCCCGCCACACAGTATCCATATCCAATGCTCAGTCCGGAGATGACTGCAGCATCATGGCACACACCGTCAATGTATTCGGCAGCGTCGAGTTTTCGGAGTCCTTACCCCTCGTCGCTGCCCATCAATACGACACTGTCGAGGTGAGTCTTTAATTGAATTTTAAGATGGACTTGAATTTCATGAATTTGAAGATTAAGTCTTTTAATTTGAAAGAGAATTTAAGCGAAATTGTGACGAAACTTTAACTAAATCAATTTATTAATTCTTCCAGGTTTTCACCAACCAGTCTGTTGCCTTCCGTTCACCCGCATCATGTACTCAATTCACATCCGACGATAGTATCATCGGCATCAAAACAGGAGAGTCTGGATTCGAATCATCGGTATGGAAGGTGAGTTTTGATTTACTTTTTACAATTTGTAGAAATAACGAACTTTTGATGGGGATATATGAGGAATTGAGGGTCTTAGAGGGGAGCAGGAGGGGACAATGCTATAAATTATTGAAAACTTACTTTAAAATTCTCAAAAATCTTCAAATTATTTAACAAAAAAAAAATCATGAAAATCTTCAAAAAAAACCCTTCGAATAAAAAAACATTAAATCAACAAAAATTTCCCCCAAAAACACGCAAAGTCACGCCCACACGAGACTCAAACGACATAAAAATTCTGCACATGAAGAAAATTTTCTTAAAGAACAAAAAAAACTTCCCATTCGTCATCGTTTTTCTTCCACTTTTTTGCATCAAACAGCAAGAAGAAATAAAAAATTGGATGGAAAATATTTTTACAGTTGAGATGAAAGGAGCTGTAATCGAAGGAGAAGGAAAAAAAAATCGATTTTTACACTGCGCGGTGAAGAGGAAAAAAATTTTCCCGTCGCAATTTTCTTTCTCTTTTCATCCCTCCTATATGAATTGGTTGAGATTCTGGGGAGGTAGATTTATTTTTATGTTCGATTTTTCTTTTTGATTTTATATTGAGAAAAAAATTCTAACCTCAAAACTGTGCAAATTTTACAATTCTAACCTCAAATTATTCGAAATTGAAAATTTAACCTCGAATTTGGTCAAGTTTGAAGTTCTAACCTTAAAATTGTTCGAATTTAAAATTCTAACCTCAAAATTGTTAAAATTAAAATTTTTACCTCAAAATTATTCATATCTTGACATTTTAACCTCAAAATTGTACAAATTTGAAATTCTAACCTCAAAAAAGTTCAAGATTTAAAATTATAACTTCAAAATTGCTCAAACCTTAAAATTCTAACCTAAAAATTATTCAAACTTTAAATTCTAACCTAAAAGTTATTCATATTTAAAATTCTAACCTCAAAATTGTTAAAATTGAAGACTTTAACTTCAAAACTATCCAATTTAAAAATTCTAACATCAATTTTCCACCTTAAAGTTTTCACTAAAATTCACTTTAAAATCACTTAAATTCTCGACATTGAAAACTTATTTAAATCAAATAAACACAAATAAAATACACAAAAAGGAAAAAAGGGAAAATTTTCACACTCGACACATTGAAAAACACAACTTTTCCTTCACAAATATTTCATTAAATATTCCTTTGATGTCTCACATGAAAATTATTCTCACAATAAACTTTAAAAGGCAAAATTACGAAGAAGCTTTGAAAGGCAAACTTGAAAGGAATTTTGAAGCATCAAAGACAAATTTTCAACTGAATTAAAGTTTTCTTCAGGAAGTGCTTTAAGATTTGATTTGGTTTAAGTGTTTAAATAGATTTAAATTTGTTTTTTTTATCGAACTTTAAGTTTGAAATTTAAAGATTTTTGAGGTTATATTGTTATATTGAGGTTAAGATGACAAATTTTGAGGTTATGTTGTCAAATTTCGAGGTTATAATTTTAAAATT